TGCCAAATTGGAGCAAAACTTTTTCCAGCTCGGTTTGGCGATCCAAGTCGCGCGGTGCAGCGGTGCATGATCATATTAAAGACGTTGTGCATGACATATTAAAGACGTTGTGCACCAAGCTGCATTTGGGATATATACAGCCCTCGGTGCAGCGTCAGCGTGGCCTTACGCGAGTGGTGGATGTGGTCCATTCATTTTGCCTCGATAACTTTGACCTTAGCTACAATTTGGGGAAAGTTTGTGTGGTAGCTACTACAGTCAATAGTACAGTTTACTTCAAAGCAAACGCCACCCTGCCAGCCAGACGAATGGTGGGCGCCCGACGGCAACATGTCATTTCAAATGCGAGTTCGCCAGGCGAATTGCCACGTTATCACGTTATCAACGCCGACCACAAAAATATATACTAACTACAACAACAACTACAGCTAGCTACAGCTAGTAGAAATGTCGTTGTTGTGTAGGGACATCGTCAGTAGAGTACTTTGCGACCATGTAGTATCTCGACGACGACTGAGTCCAGCGCAGGAGCCCAGTACAAGGCAGTGAGCAGTCGGCCTTGGAAGCCGTCGAACATATTGGTGTTTGTATACCATACTGTACCCGCATCCGATTGGCTCGTAATTGGGCATACGAATGCGCTGATTGGCTCTTTTTCAAAAGATTTGCTCGCGGTTGTTACTCTGGAAACAGAAAATATGAACCGCGCCCGCAGCGCCTGCTCGATCGTGGCGACGACCGCGGTCGTCGTGACCCTGATCACGTGCGTGGCCATTGCCAAGTCCCAAGACATCTACGTCGGCGGCCTCGCGTGGCCGTTCCTCTCCGACATGGGCCGCGATCCGCCCGCATACTACGTCTTTGTCGTCGGTCTCTGCATCACGGCCGCAAGTCTCCTCTTCGTGTGGTACATCTACCGTGTTCGCCGTCACCTCGCTCATGCCTGAGCTTGGCTAGGTTCTTCAACTACTGCTACCAGACGTCTGTGATGGCGGCGTCGTCCTCGGGCTGCCACAAGTGCCTCCGCACCTTTGTCGCCGTCTGTGGCATGGTCTCGGCCTTTGCACTCCCGATTCTGGTACCCTTTGTGGTTGCATTTTGCGTATAGTACTGATGTGCAGATCTACTAGAGCATTTGCGATACCGCGCGGTTTCCCAGCGTGCACAATGCGTCGGCGTATGCGTTCTTCTGCCTCGAGGCCCTCGCCGTGCTCTGCAACGTACACGAACCTCCAAGCTAGGCGTCGCATGATGATGATGATGGCTGTAGACGGTGCTCACGTACCGCATCTACAAGCAGCGCGGCGACGACGAGCGCTATACCATGGACGGCCTTGACCGCCACGCTGTCGCCCGCGTCCGGCGCCAAGCCTGGTACGAGCCATCTCGTTCAGCTAATGCTCATGCTTCGTCTTCTAGGGTCGCCCAGCTCACGGTTGCCATGCTCTTCTTGGCGGCCTTTATCTTGTACCTTCCCGTGGGTCTTGCGCTCTCGTGCGAGTTTGAGCACTTGACGATTGCCAAGGTATCCTCTTCATCTGTTGTCGAAGAGATGGAACGGGTGCGTATACGTAGTGCTTGGATCTCAAGCTTGGGGACACCTATTGCACGTCGACAATGATGCTCAACACGACGTCGACAAAGCTATGGGACTACAGTATGTATAGCTCAACTCAATTACTCTTGCACGTTGATTCTGACGGTGGTCGTGTAGGCGCGCCCGACTGCACGTCGGTACATCAAATGCGCGCCGGCGCCCAGCTCGCCTGCATCCTCACGCTCGTCGGCTACTCGCTCACGTTCATCTTCAACTACCAAGATACGAAAAAGTATATCGAGGACGACCGGTCGGCGTATGCGGTTGCGGGGCCGTAGCCGACCCTGTTGACTCCTAGTACACTAGTTTGAACAGTGTCTTCCATGCGTTCGTCGGCGTTGCCACGGAGGAGTGTGGACGCGGTATCGTTGGCCCACGGCAAGTGCATTCGACCAAAGGCTTCTCGCTTGATACCTTGATACAATTTGGACGCCCACTGGGAGACGAGCTACGATGCACGATCGTCGTTCGTCCCTTGATGCGACCCAACACGGATGCGATGATGCAGACACTGTTTCAATACTCTGTATGCGATCGGCGCGGTCCACTGCGTGTTGCATTTTGTGTACAACAGAAAAGAAATGCATCCGTGGACCGTGTAGCCCACTCGTCCCAGCCAAGCACGAGCAAGAGGTATACTCTGCCTGTCGACACTTCCTGTTTGCTTTGCGTTGTGGAGCGACATGCGATGCAGTGGATCGTTCAGGGCTGGAGGTGCCCTTTACGTACGATATACAAAAGCGCGAGTGCAAAGGGTCGTTCAACACCCTTTACACCATACACAGCGCAAGAACCAGCTCTTCACAAACCATTTCCTCGACGACGACGACAACGAACATGACTGCTTACTTTGGCCGCGCTACGATGGCTGCCTTGACCGCCGGGCTGGCCTACATGATCTACTCCAACGCCACGTCCACGCCGACGGACGCCACCGACGACGCACCGACGACAACGACCACGCCGTCGAGCACGGTCGAGCAGCAACACGATCACCTCGACACCGATCTCGACGAGCCGCCACAGCTCGACGCCGCTACCATCATGGAGCTCCTTGAAGACACACAACAACGCCACGTGGACGTGATGCAGGCGTCTCTGGACGCATCCACCGCCACCGCAGCGACACTGCAGCGCCAACTCGACGCATCCGTCAACCGTTTGGCACACCAAGCTCTCGCGTCGCTCCACGAGTCGGCTGCAGCGGATGAAGTCATCCGAAATTTGCAGCTGGAGCTCAACGCAGCGAACGTGACGGTCGAGGTTGTGACGATGGACGCGGCAAGGGCTCTAGACCAGTGGCACCGCGCGGTCTCGAGCCGCCTGTTCGAATGTCCACGCTGCGGTGGCATCGACGACACGCCCATCATGATCGAGTCGAATGACGACGACGACGACGAGCGGTGGTCGTGTGAAGACGCCATGCCAATGTCGGCCATCCTCGCAGCACCGCCGCAGCTGCCATCCATCACCGAGACGCCAGAAGAGCTCACGGACGACGACAACACCACTTACCAGCAGCGACGGGAACGAAAACTGAGTCGACTGCGCGAGGTCGGGCTCTGGCCACTTGGACCCAAGAAGAAGCCCAAGCCACCGCCCCGCGTCCCGCGCTTGCCGGCCGCCCACCGTCCTGGCTTAGCCGATATCCTTGCTGGTCTGGGAGCACTAGGTTTTGGTGGATCTCCGCTCTAGAGCTGCTCTCGAGTCGCAAGACGTGTAGTACGTAGTAGGTAGTACTAGTTTAGTTGTAGGGGTACTAGCGCTAGTTGTTTCAGTAGAAAGGTAGAAAATACATGTTCGATCGTACTTGCAAAAACAAAACTTGGTCAAGCGTCACTACTTCAGCATTTCTACCGGTACTATTAAGCGTTGACCTTTGACTCGGGGTAGCACGATGAGTCTATGCAGCACTGTACCGTGTGGTGTCGCCAGCACGTATCCATGCACAAGCAGCCGCCGCCAAAGACAGGCGCGGCAAGGGACGTCGCCAGCGCACGCGCAACGCGACCGCCGATTGGCCACGTCATGTGTCGACCTAATTCTGCAACCCACTCCATTCGCGCGCCACGTGGTCCCCCGACCGCGTCGCACGATGGCAAATATTGTCCACTTGTACATTCTAGTCGATCGACACTATTCCTACTAAGGACAATTTCCATTCGTCTTTATCTCGCGTGTGGCAGCGTTATCACACGTGCGTACACGCGTTGCAGCTGCCGTGTGAAATCCCAGCCCCGTCCGTTTGGCTGTTTGGCGCCACCCGGTGGCTTGTCAAAAATAATAAAGTAACTGGCGTGTGGTTGTTATAATTTGTTGTGGGCGATTGTAAGACCTTGGTGTTTGTAGGAGAAGGTCAAATCGCAGGTTTGAAAATCCTTTGTATTTTTTAATTTTGGAAACGTAGAATCGTTGATATCAGGTGGTTGCAGTGGGTCGGTCGTGTCTTTTTCGCCGTTTTTCACACGTGTAAAATGGCGCGGATCGTGGCAGCCTCACGTACCGGTATGTTGTTCCAAAGCTGCAGTCGGCAGCTTCTATCCTGCATTCGCACTGCTCTGTCATGCACGAGTACGCGCGTTGAATCGACGATGTTGCGACTCACGCCAGCGACGTTTCGTGCAGAAGAGCTTGCGCGATAGCACGACGCCATGTGCTATCGGTACTGTTCTCGAAAGCTTACGCTAGATTCTACCGACGGAGGCAGGCAACGTCATTGGAACCCGACCAGAAGACCATACCTGCTACAGTCTTTATTCAAGGGAGAAGTATTAGACGCTTGAAGGACAGAGATTAGTCTCTACTAGAAGTGCCTAGAGCTCCAAGTGGATCAGCGCGAGCTTCACTGACGCGCGAACTCTGACGCGATGGTAGGACGGAAAAGCGGTGTCATCCATCCCGCTGGATTATCTGCACACTACGCTTGAGCCTTGGCGCGGCCGAATGGCAAGATCACCCGAACGACACCTGGCTCTGCGCAAGAACGAGAGGTTTTGCCCTTGCATCATCGCTTCATTGACAACAAATATATCGTTTTAACCATTCCCTCTCGTCGTATAACAAAGGACCAATGAATGAGAGTGTAGGCTACTACCTAACTCTTTCCTTTGGCGTCGTCGCTGACGCCCGGGGATGGCGTCGGCATCATCTCAAGGTGCAGTGTCGCTGCTTGGATCTCATATCTTATTTCGCACGTTTCCCACGTGTGTGAAAAACCCATTGGTCACCAGTTCCAAATTTGTGTCGGCGTGTGTAATGGGCCATTTGTATGGCGGCGTGGTCCTTACACTTGGTATTTGTATGGTCGACGCAGCCGCGTTTTTGAAACCGACCATTTTGACCAATCAGACGCATTCGCCAAGGCCATTGGCCAAAAAGAAATCCAGCTTGCTCATGCGCCAGGCCCGTCGTCAGTTGCCAAGTTGCCTCCGACAAGACGACGATGAGCCAAAGCAGCAGCAAGCCGCCAAGCTTTACGTGGGCCGAGGTCGTCTGGTACAACGTCATCACGCTCGCCGTGTGGCACGCCATGGCACTCTACGCGCTCCTCTTTGTGCTGCCGCAGGCGTCCGTTGCCGAGATCGCGACGCTCTGGGGCGGCCTCTGGTTCATCTCGGGCCTTGGCATCACCGCCGGCGCGCACCGTCTCTGGGCGCACCGCGCGTACAAAGCGCGCCTCCCGCTGCGCGTCTTCCTCATGCTGGCCAACTCGATGGCGTTCCAGGGCTCGATTTTCGAGTGGGCGCGCGACCACCGCGTGCATCACAAGGGCTCGGACACGACCGCCGACCCGCACAACTCGAAGCGCGGCTTCTTCTTTGCCCACATGGGCTGGGTCATGGTGCGCAAGCACCCGGACGTCTTCAAGGAAGGCAAGAAAATGTCGTACGACGATCTCGATGCCGACGTCGTCGTCGCGGCGCAGAAGAAGCACTACCTTCTCTCGGTTCTGCTCATGTGCTACGTTTCGCCCTCGGTCCTTGGCCACCTCGCGTTCGGCTCGGCCTCGACCGGGTTCTGGATCGGCGGTATCTTCCGCCATGTATGGGTGCTGCACATGACGTGGTGCGTCAACTCGGTGGCCCACTTTTTTGGCTACAAGCCGTACGACCGCAACATCCGCCCGGTCGAGAACCTCCTCGTGAGCATTGGTGCGATCGGCGAAGGCTGGCACAACTTCCACCACAAGTTCCCGTCCGACTATGCGACCGGCGAAATGGGCATCCTCCAGCAGTGGAACCCGACGAAAGCGTTCATTGACCTCATGGCGCTTGTCGGACAGGCGTACGACCTCAAGCGGTCGCGCACGTCGACGTCGACGCGGGAGCGCGTCGCGGCTGCTGTCGAAGCCGAAGCCGCGAAAGGCATTGCGCCGCCGCCGAGCACGTGGGACCAGTTCACGAGCTGGCTCTTCTTTGGCCGCACCGAAGACCAAGCGCTCTTCTAAGCCACTCGACCTTCTTCTTCTTCGTAATCAACTCGTGCGTGTGAATAATAACAATACTACTACCTTCTCCGAGCGCCTCTTCCACAGGCCTCCAGGTCGAGGACGCAGCGTAGGTCATCGTACGAAGCGTCAGCAGCAGCGGACAAGATCATGCTGCAACTAAGATCTGCATCAACATGACGTCACCGTCTTGGACCGGTGATGTCACAGTGGGCCAAATCTTTCGAACACGAAATTTCGAACGTCGTTGAGATTCGGTCCTCCGGCAGCTCCGGCAGCTCGCGTGGCAGTAGCTCGCTTTGGGCACGCTGGATGACCAGGTAGAGGCCGTGCCAGGGATACCACAGGCTGCCCTCGCGTGAGGCGCTATGCTAGCTGCTGGTGCTTGGTAGTCGTCCGGCTGCACGACGGACGCTCCATGTGTCGATCGCATGCGCCGCTTGGAAGGCACCGTGCGCCGACCTCAGTCCATGCGCAAACAAGACGACGACGATATTGACATGTTCTCTATTGGCATGTAGGTTGTTACTCGATGCGGCGCTTCTTTTGCAGCTGCTGGCGCACGCCGTCGGCAATGACGGTCGACGCCATGTCGATCTCGTCGAGCGTCGTCTCGCGGCCGACCGAGAGTCGCAGCGTGCCCATCGCGTACGTCGATGGCACGTGCATGGCGCGGAGCACGGCCGAGATGCTCGTCGTGTGGCTGTGGCAGGCCGAGCCCGCGCTCGCGGCGACGCGGTCTTCGATCGATCGCAAGAGCGCACTCGCTTGGACGTTGGCAAAACCGATGCTGAGCGTGTTGGGTAATACATCGTGCTCTATGCACAACCGCATTCGGCGCCGTATTCACATGCCATCGCAATGTCGTCGTACCGGTGGTAGGGCCGTTGACGGCCATGTCAATATCCGACAGCTTGTCGTGGAGCTGCGTATACAGCGCAGAACGCAGATTCCAGAGCGCACGCGGGTGCAACGCCAAGTAGTCCTGCGCCAAAGCGCACGCTGTGCCCAAGGCGACGGCGTACGGGATGTTCTCGGTGCCGGCGCGGAGCCCGTTCTCGTGGCCAGCGCCGTGCATGAGCGTCTGCAGTCGCCGTGTGCCGGGTCGAATGTACAGCGCACCGACGCCCTTGGGTGCATACAGCTTGTGGCCAGCCACCGTGAGAAAGTCGACGTTCAGGGTCTCGACGTCGACCGGGATCTTGCCGATCGACTGGCTCGCATCCGTGTGCAGTAGCAGTGGACTCAAGCCGCGCGTGTCGTCGACCAAGAGCTCGGCGTGGCGGGCGCGGGCGGCAGCCGCGATCGCGCCAATGGGCTGGATGGTCCCGACCTCGTTGTTGGCGTGCATGATCGAGACCAAGCACGTTGTCGGCCGCACAGCGGCGACGACGTCGTCGACGGCCACGCGACCGAGCGCGTCGACCGGAAGCGTCGTGATCTCAAAGCCATGCGTCTCCGCGAGGAACGCACAGGTCGCGCTCACGGCCACGTGCTCGACGGCCGACGTGATGATATGGCGCTGCGCCGGATGCGACGCCAGCATGCCTTTGAGTACGTAGTTGATCGACTCGGTACCGCCCGAGACAAAGAGGATCGCGTCCGATGGGCAGCCGAGAAGCGCGGCGACCTGTGCGCGGGCGGTACCCAGTGCTGCTTTCGCCGCCTGCCCGAGCTGGTGTGTCGACGACGGGTTCCCATATGTCTCTTCCAAGCACTGCGTCAGCGCGGATATGACGCGCTACATCCATGCCGCATGAGCCATCCATGCAGCGGCCAGGATCCCTACCTTGTCGACGGGCGTCGTCGCGTTGTAGTCGAGGTAGATCATGCTGCGTGCTGCTGCAAGCGGAACCGCAAGTGCGTGGCAGCGTATCCGGATACGGTCCACGGGTGGTTTAAACGTAACGTTCAACGTGGGTTTTATAGGTCGGTTGTGCGCGAAGCCAGCAGACGTCACGAAGAGGCTGGGCAACCTCGCAAGCGAACACCCGAGGTGCTCCTTCGTAGTGTCGTTGCAATAGCATTGCACAAAGCGAGCCAGGTGCAGCGTCAAGGCGTCCAGGGCTAGCTGTACCCAGATGCTACAAGCAAAAGCTTGAAGTCGCAACCGCTGGCGACCGGCGCTCGGAACGTCGACAACCTCGCCCTGTGGGCAGGACGCTCGTATAACTCGCCTGCGACCCATCGCTCTGCGCGAGTCCAGAGCGGGAATGCACTCGAGCTCAAGCTGCTCACACAAGCGTCGAGGAATGGGATTGCCCCGATGCCGCGTTCTGATTGGTGGACACCGATTGGCCATCAACGTTAAAGTATGTTTAAACTATAAAACGCGGATCTGGCGTGCGGCGTGCAGTGTTTGGATCTGGCCCGAAATGGGAGTGATGGCCGGCGACGAGGCGCAGCCCGCGTCCATGGCAGCGACGATGCTTGTACCTGCACCTCCTTCGTCGCGCTCACGCTCATGGCCATGACCTTAGGGCAGCGCAATGGCTGGCATCCTCGGGCGCATTGTATGCCACCCCATGGACATGGCCAAGGCCAACCTCCAGGCGCACAGCTCGTACCGCAATGCATGGCATGTTCTGACGAAAACTATGAAGTACGTACGAGGCACATCCATTGCCTGTGGCCACCGCGCCATGCTAGAACCGAAGGCGTGCGCGGCCTGTACAAGGGCTTTGGCGTCGTGGTCCTTGGGTCGGCGCCAGCCACGTGCCTGTACATGACGTCGTACGAGGTAGCTCGCTTGCACCGTCTTTGGTACCTCTACGATGGCTCATACCATGGGACTAGGAAAGCAAGAAGTGGCTCACGCAGTCGCCGCAATTCCAAGACGCACCGTTCCTCACGACCTTCTCCGCGGGCATCTTTGCCGAGGCGTTTAGCTGCATCTTTTGGGTGCCCATCGACGTCGTCAAGGAGCGCATGCAAGTGCAAACACTGCATCAAGCCAACGGGTACAGGAACACGCTGCATGCGCTGCAGACGATTGCGCGTACCGAAGGCCTCCGTGGCATGTACAAAGGTCATCTGCATGTCGATGCCATGACGTTTCCTCATGCAGCAAGGTAGGCTATGGCGCGACCATGTGGTCCTTTGGCCCGTACTCGGCGCTCTTCTTTGTGGCCTACGAGCAAGTACGTGGTCGGACGCTACAGTGGTTGAACGACTGTGGTTTCTAGAACAAGGCGTGGGCAACGCGCTGGCATGGCTCACCCGACGTGCCGTTCTCGTCGCTGCTTCTCTGCTCCGTCTCGGCGAGTGCAGCTGCTGCGTTTTTGACCAACCCACTGGATCTGGTCAAGTTGCGGCTCCAGGTACAGTGTTTGGATGTGATTCTGGTACGAGACGCAAATATGCAGGTGGAGCGCTTCCGGGCAACGTCATCGGGCGCACCGAGCCAGTACAAGAACACGTTCGATGGACTCGGACGCATTTTGACGTACGCAGACGATGGAGAGCATGTCAATAACCTGTGGCACTGGACTAGGCAAGAGGGACCCAAGGCGCTGTGGAAGGGGGCGGGGGCCCGTGTCGCGTTTCAGGCCCCCCTCACAGGCATCACGATTGCGATTTACGAAAAGTGCAAAGACATGTGCGCAACGTTTGTCTAGTAACTCGATAAACGAGTAGCTACAAGTGTAGTTGAAAGATGATTCAAGTAGCTCGGTATTCAAACCAGATCGGTCGATTCGAGATACCAGATACTAGGACCAGATACCGTCGACTTGATACATTTGGTTGTGGCATTTCTGTTTGGGTAGAAATGGATTGTGTGCCAGTCTTCTGCATGGGATTGCCGATCAGAAGCGAGAAAGACTCGACTTGGCGTCCTCGTCGCTCTCTGTATCCCATCGACGTCGACCTACACGAGCTCGGTTGTTGGTTTGGGTAACATTTGAAGAAATGAAAATGCCAACAATACTGACAGCAAAATTCAACACCGCGTAAAGTCAACCTTGGGAAATCGTGGAAGCATGAACCATCCTTCTCCGAGGAGCTTCCGACTCAACTGCAGCATGTCGTTCAACAGTACCAGGTGAACTTAGGACATTTCTCAGAGAATATCGCTCCGTTTGGATCGTGACGTATGGTCCGTCCGTCGATCGACAGACGTTCCATCTCCCTCCACGTCGAAACGATATGGACAGTGCCCATCACCACTGGTAGCTCCGTCTATTGCGAAATGATACTTTGTGCGCAGTTGCTCGTCCTTGTGCCGAGCGAGGTTGCTGGAGCTGCTGCGCGTAATGACAGCTTCGATAGACTGCTGAACTCTCTACGACGCGCGGCCAGGTCGCGCCAAAGATGTAGCTGCTTGGGTCGCCAACGACACCTATACATCGCACGCATGGCTATGGTGCACGGCAGCCAGAGCGGCCGAGACGACGACGAGTCGTGGGTGTGGGCATACGGTCAGCACGACCAGGTACAGTAACTTTCGAATCGAGTCCCTACTATGTGAATGGTATATATAATATGTGGATAGCAATCATCTTCTCGTGCGTGCGCTGGCTTCCAAGCTTGCCGCTATCGCGCGTCGAGCAAGTAGCAAGGCTGGCGTACGAGCCCGATGCTGTCGCCTTGCCGTGCATGTTTGTGGTCGCAGGTACCTTTCTAGATGCTTTTTCCTGGCGAGATGCGCCTTCCATTGTTCGGTGCGTCTCAAATTTTGAGCTTGCAGATCGCACCACCCATGCCCGCCGCTCGTCGTGCCACGTACGCGCGACTATCCACCAATCACACACCATCGGCGTGCGTCCATGGACCATGTCCACCAATCAAACGCCAAAGCGCGAAAATAGAACCAAAAGACGACATGCGATTGGCTCGTGCGAACGCATACGAGGACGTCCTGCGATCGAACGACGGAATAACTTAGGACGCGTGAAGGAACGCCTGGGCCAGCGCCCGCTGCGGCTGGAGGAGTCGAGAGTAGTCGACGAGGTTCTTCATGGTATGGTCGAGCGCAAAGTCGAGGTACAAGCAGTCTTCGTACACGACGTCCATGGACTTGCGCTTGTGCTTTAGGAGACGGTCCAGATGGTTTTGGCGCGTGAACGGGATGTTCTTGCCGCCGACGTAGAAGCGGTCCCGCTTTCGAAAGATGGGCGGGATCGACACGGGGACTGCTGTGAGCCGCAATGGCGCTGCGTACTCGCTGTTGAAGGCAGAGGTCGCAGCATTCGCGAACGCGTACGAGTACGAGTATGATGTGGGCTTGAAGGGCATCGCGGTATTGCTTGGCGCGCCGTGCTTGGGCGACGTGACCGGCGACTCGTCCGAGGCCTGCGTCGTCGCATCGTCATCGTCGTCGTCGTCGTCCATGACCGGTTGCTCGTTGCAGGAAACAACTTTGACGGCGCTATAGCGCGACGCCCGCGACGGTTTTTCCGACTCGACTAGCGACGACCGGCGCCGCCACGGGTCGTCGTCACGCAGCCAGCGCTCGAGAAGCGACTTGCGCGTCGAGTGGGTGGCACCATCGATGGTCGCATCGTACTCGGTATCCTTGCGCTTGAAGAGCCCGAGGAAGCTGCGACGCGATTCGGGATGCCGGCGGAAGCTGCGGAAGAGGCTCGAGCCACGGCCATGACCATCGTCCTCGTCGACCTCGTGGCGGAAGGAGCGGCCGAGGCGCCGCCAGAAGCTCAGCGTCGCAGGGTCTTTCATCGTACGTGGCTGAAGATTGCGAAATGCGAAAATGGACGTGGCGCGATCCCTGAAACGGCCCTGTCCGGGGTCGAAACGATCTGACCCCACCCGGGTCCTCCCCAGTTGGATCGAGATTCCTTTCGATCCTTTACACTTGCTTTTTCTATGCAAAAGTATCTTCGGGGGCGGGTCCTGGCCATGGACCCGGTACTGAAAAATCGCAACAACCACGCACAAACACCATGTGCGGGTTTTGTCGCTGTCTACAAATTCCATAGCACATCGGTGCTCTCTGCGTTCCATGCGTCGGCCTTGTGGGTGGTCGTGGGCTGCAGCCGACGAGACTCTCAAGAGCGAGTCACCATCTCGTGCTTCTCCCCGTGTCCAACGCCCTACTAGACATGTTGGCGCCAGAAAAAAATCGACCCAACGGTCGATCCTCCTGATAATCATCTCGGCCGCATTGGATCATCAGGCTGCATCATCTCGGTCGCGGACCTACATTCGGAGGTCGAGTAGCCGCCTTGCGCACGCGCTGCAGCCGAGCAGGCCTGATGAAATTTTACGAGCTCAAGCGCTGCACGATAGATTCAGCATTGGACAAAATCACAAAGTGGCAAAAGTAGCTATCGATGGCTTCTATTGTAATATTATCGTCCTTGTACGCATGTGGTACGACGTTCCTTGCAGAGGTCGTTTTCGAATTCCTGGCGAGCCGTGCACATCCGGATACACGGGATCGTCCGGATAAAGATACGCTTTGGTCGATGTATATACCGGTATCATGCGGACGGCGGGTGAGACGTGGCAGCTTCTCGAAGCGCTGGGCGATAATGGTCGGGAGCACATCCCACTGCAGGTTGCTTGCGTTCGTTGCAGGTTGCAGGTTGTCGTGCGCTGCTGATAGGGCCAAAACCCCTCTGTGGCATGGAAGACGGTCGCGCGAATGTCGTCCTCTGGACCTATCAGAACGCCACTGCGTGCAGTGCCACGGACTGGCCGAGGTCTGTTCTCGCTCGTCCGAGACGATGCACCATGCAGAGACCATCCATCCAGAAAAGATGCAATAGGGTTGTCTCCGGAAGAGTCTCTACCGCGTCATGGGGATTCGGAGGCTCCGACCACGTGGCCTGTGGCAGTGCGGCCAACTGCCAACTGAGCCGCTTGGACGGAAGCCATTCGACTCGCAGACAATCCAAAGCCACACCATTCCTACCCGGTATCAGCGGTGGCGGTGGCGGCTTTGGGGGCAGAGACCTCGGCGACGGTTCACGGCGTACGCAAGGCGACTGGTCGCGTGGGTGGTATGGATGACGCTGTATCGTCATACGCATCGCCTGTTGTCATCTCGTCTGCATCGCGGCGCTTGGCGTTTGGCGATGGTGGTCATTTTGAACTCGCCACACAACACTATTCAAAGTCAGACGGGCTGACACTATATTGGATGGATCTTGGAAAGGCCGTATCTTGGAAGAAATGGGCAACCAGCAAGGCAGCTACAACCCCGCGCGCGACGCCGCCGAAGCCGGTCGCCGGCCCGACGACCACGAGCTCCTCCTGCTCTTCTCGCTGCAGAAGCGCTTCATGACGCGCCTCGTCGAGTGTCCCTACGTACCCCTCTCGGTTCCAGCGGCAAATGGCGTCTCATGGCCATGCATGTAGCATCTCAGCCTCCTAAGCCGGTACTGGGACAGCATGCACGGTAACCACCTGCGCAACAATGCGCTACCTTTCCAGCGCAACAGCGCCGAGTGGCAAACGATCGGCTTTACGAGCTGCAACCCTGGCGACGACATTCGCGCTGGCGGCGAACTTGGCCTCGAGTGTCTCGGTGCTCCTAGCCATCGCTGCTCGGCGCTTATTCGCACTCCTAGTCTTCTTTGTCGAAAACTACCCCGGCGAAGCGCGGATGCTCAACCGTCATTTCGGGTTCGTCTTCGCTGTGGTGATTTCAATGAGCCCGACTCGCGCCTAGGTATCCGTTGGCCAAGGCGGCGGTCGCCGTCGTCCGCGTGCTCATGGAGATCCTCCACGTCGTGGCTATGGACGGCTCCAAGGTACGCCAACAACAGAATCTGTCGTCGCCATCCTACGCTGTTTCCTAGGGCAATTTTCCAGTGCAAGAAACACTGTATTGGCAGCTCCTGGATGCGGACGCGAGCTTCTTTCAGCTCTTTGCGTTTTGCGTCCTCATGTTTGACGAGCTCTACTGCGAGTGGGTCTCGACGACCGGCGTCGCTGCGCTGGCCTGCGACACGTCGATCGTCGCGCAGCTCGCGGACCAGGGCAAGGCCAAGCTCCTCGCGACGCTTCGCCGCGCGCCCGAGCACCTCACCGACCTCGTTGTACGACATGCTAGGAGGTTGTACAGAATTGTCTTATGGATGGTGGTCTATAGGACCTCTGTGGAAATGGCCAAATTCTGCGCAAACTCCACTTGAAGCTCGACCTGGACGCGAAAAAACCAAAGCCAAATGCGTGGTCCAAGCGCCAAGACTTATTCTTTGGTCTGGAGCAAAAGGGGCATTGAGTCTAAGGTCTGTTCGCCAGCGCCGCGGCAATGTCTGTCGCGCGATACGGCGTCGCATTCATCTAGTACGCAGTAGTAAAGACGTATAACGCGTCGAGTGATCTTGTGATGCATGGATTTAACGCATTTACCGTAGTCGGCGCCAGATTTACGTTTGGATGGCTTCGCATGAAATGCAAGAGATCGCGGAGGGCATAAATGAGCGCATTGCGCGCCGCCTCGTCGGTGACGCGGCACTCGAGCACGTTTTCCGAGCCAATGAAACAACAGCACTAGTGCGAGGCGAATGTCGCGACGTGCGTCATCATGTGATCTACCTCGGACGCGGGCGGCGGTGTCGACAAATTGAAAAAAGCAATGCTGTTGACGCCTTTTCGGACCTCGGCCACGTCGCTGAGAAGCACGCTCTTGAAGACACGGACTAGTGACGCGCCGTCGTGACGCAACGCTAGAGTGGGACGTACGCTTGCTGTCGCCAATGCAAAGACGATTGGTCGTTGGGTTGATCCAGAGGTAGCTGCGCGCGGGCGTCAAGTACGCTGCGAACCGAGTTACTTCGACGCTAGTGCATTTGTGAGAATATTCACCATACAAAAAACGACAGAAGAAAATACCCAGTGGCCAAGACACTGTACAAGTGCGCAGCGGTCGCCAGAGACACCACGTCCTTGTGGTGGGGTGTCGTCCATTCGCGACTTGCCAGCTAGCCGAGAAGAAATCAACGGATGGTCTCTATCGGTAGGGAGCGTACAAGGGACGTGCTGTCTTGAAGCACGTCCAAGACAACCCTCAATCGCACAACAACTTGGTCCCGCGCGGCGGTCGTTGTGAGCTCGAGATCCCATGTTCCTTCCGAGCCGACGATCGAGAAGCACTTCAAGTTGCGTGTTTTAAGCTCGAGGTTTGTCAAGGCAGGTACCTGGTCTGGATTCGGTTCGAGCGTCGAGCGCGCAAAGCCCGCCGACTGCGCGCCGATGCGAGCTTCAGCAATGTCGCGAAGGTACAGTCCCTTCTCTGACTTGGCCGTGATGCCGCGCCGGCGACCAAACGATATGGACTTGGTGAGAAAGCGCATGCTCGTGCGGTGCAATGGGCGCATGATGAGCCGCTCGCCGTCTAAAAACACACCATTTTGCACGTGGCAGCGTCCCATGCGTTGACCTTTGTCGAGCGAGATGACCTTCCATTTTTTCGCCTGCCGCTTGGCATTGTACTTGCAAACGCGAACACCTTCGTGGAGCAGCTTCCAAAAAAGGAGCAGATCCCGGTCGAGATGGTGCATGAGCGTCATCAAGTGTACCTAGCCACATCATGGTCCCGCTAGTGTCTGGTTAGACGCAACGTTCAACCGCAGTCGTCTTGATGTGCGTCGATGTTCGGACGCGACGATACCAGCCCTGGAGACGCCGCGCTGCTGCCTCGGTCGTCTCGTTGACGGGTATATCATGACAACTATAGATTCTCATAAGGTCAACTGGCACGCTATCGCTGTACCTTGCCAAAGCCGCCTCTTGCTCCGCTGTCTACGGACCATATCTCAGTTTAACCAGCTAGCGGCTGCGTACGTGTGCTGCAGTAGGCACATGCGACTCGATGATACGCAGCAAAATCGCGCTGTTCAAGGATCGCTGGCCTTCGAGGCCGGCAGGGACTGGCATCGCGCGCTGATTCGGGCGCGTAGCACGGTTTCAAACCACCGGTTTCGCTGCCTTTTTCATTCTATAACACTGCATTTACGCATAGGACTAAAACTAGAACGGGACATATGCTACAATGCGATTCCTCTTCTACTCTCCGTGCCTGTGCTTCGGCAGCAAAACGAAGTTCTCGGTCGTGCCAAACTCTGTGTCGCGAAACAGCAGTGACAGAAAAACAGTGTTTTCTTTTGGGTGGATCGCACCGATCGAGATCAGGTCGGGACGTTGGCTGGTAGCAGATGCGATCTTGCGAAGAGGCGACCTTCTCGGACCAGCCTCTGATCCACTCCGTGGGACACGCCAGATGCCAAATCGAGGTCGCTGGCAACAACCCACCGTACAACCCCCGCAACAATCCTCCGTCCTCTGCACCACTTCAACAAGTGCACTTACCGATCTTATGTGGATCCTACAACACCATTTGGTGGTGAATTGCACTGCGAGTAGCCTTTGCCCATCGCCAATGATGTCCTTTCTATGACGCACGTTCGTTTTCTGGTCGTACACGCTGCCACGTCATGGCCGCGGTTTCTTAGTGGAGAGTCCCTTCTCCAATTTTGTGGCTTGTGGGCACGCTACGCAGTCCACCATGTATGCAACCGAGGCCGAGTGACAGAAGGGTGCAATGCCAACAGGGTTGCGAAGGGTGGGACGCGTATCTCGGCCGAGTAGCCAGGAGCGAAAACGAAAAAATAAGATTCATGTGCATCATTCCGTCGTTCCTCATTCTATTATTTGAGCGATATTGCGACGATGGAGCCCGACGCAGGTCCGAGCGACGGCTGGTACAACGACAACGACGACGACGACCAAGCGCTTCGGTCCGGCAGCTTTGCCTACAGCGAGCGCGCGTCGTCGTTCACGACCCCGTCGGCCGTGTTCTCGCGCGGCTCGATTTTGCAGCGTGACATCAAAGCCATGCCGGTCGAAGCGACGGCCCACGGGCGGTCGTGGGGCACACGGTATGGCGGCCGCCTGCGGGTACGCTTCCTGCCATGCTACGGATCATGGTTGTCACAAGCGATGCTAGCGCTGGCCGGGCGTCCTCCTGCTTTTTGTCATTGTGGCTGCGAGTGTGGCGGCCATCACGTACGGCGCGACGTCGACCCGCGACGCCGCGCGCACCCGCGCGTTCGACGTGCAGAAGCGACTCGCGCTTGAGCGCGCGATTGCCGACGGCACAACGAGCGGCTCGACATTGGACGACGTCGACGTCGCCGACGATGGCCAAGTCAACAACCCCCAAGTGTACCCGCCGAGCGGGTGCCAGCTGCCCAACTACGTGAGCAAGAACGGCAAGATCTACGCGGTCGCCAAGAACGGCACGGAGGTCCCAATCCAGATCAAGGGCGTTAACTGGTTTGGCATGGAGACGTACGTACCAGACGCTCACAATCCGGAAATCTCGTCATCGGGGACTCGAAAAGCTGAGGCCTTATTCTAGGGGCATGCGAGCGCCGTTTGGGCTCTGGGACAACGACCAGAACGGCACGACTGTGGTACGCACCACAACACCGCCCCGACCAGCTCACAGCTCGAATTCTAGTACGCGGTCGCTCAGTTCCTTGCCAACAACAAGTTCAACTCGGTGCGCATGCCACTCTGCGTCTCGAGCATCCTCGAAAACAAGGCGCCCGAAGTGTCGATCATCAACCGCGTCACCAACCGCGCTCTGGATCTGACGTCGTACCTCGGACTACTCCAGACCATGACGCAGTCGCTCGGGTTCCGCCAAGTTTCCGTCATGATTTCCATGCACACGCTCGACATCTACAACCGCGAAGGCTCGCTTTGGTACGGCAAGTCGCTCACCACCGACGACTTTCTCAAGGCCATCGACATGCTCACGGCCGCGCTTTGCTCGGACAAGTACTGGAACATCCTCGGCATCGACGTCAAGAACGAGCCGTGGGAAGGCACGTGGGGCACCGGTACCAAGAATGACTTTCGCGCAGCTGCGCAGCTCATTGGCGCGCGTATTCTCAAGGGCTGCCCCAAGTGGCTCGTGTTTGTCGAAGGCGTCAACGCCCAGCACACGATCGTCCTCGACGGCCAAGAGTACGGCTACTACGACTGGTTTGGCGGCGGCTTGCACAAGGCCGGCGAGTTTCCGGTCGTCCTGCCGACCGCCGAGAAGCTCGTGTATGCACCGCACTACTACACGCCGGCGGTGTTTCCGCAGTACTACCTCTTTGGCGGCGGCAAGGTCGGCGCCGGCAACGCGATCAACGGCTACGTTGAGCTCAGCGACGAGAAGCTTTTGGGGCGTGTGACCAACACCATGTACGACATGTTTGGCTATCTGAACGCCAAGCAAGACGCAGCGGTCGTCCTCGGGGAATTCGCCGGTCTCTACACGAAAGACGAGCACCCGATGAAGACGACCCAGCGCTGCACCGACTTTACGATCAAGGCGATTTTGAGCGAGAGCTATGCGGGCGGGTACATGTGGTCGCTCAACCCCGAGTCGGCGTACCAGTACAACCCGGCCGATACGCCCGGCAACTATGTCGAAGGGCTGTTGAATCTCGACTGGCGGTCGGTGAACGCACCGTTTTTGAAAGCCATGAAGCCTCTGGACGCGATGCCGCACCTCAAGATGATGCCGTGCTTTAGCACATGACCACTCGCACGAAGAGTAATTGCGAGTACAACCGACAATATTCGAGTTAGTAGTCTTTTGTTTTATATTTTTGAAAGTGCTATCCAAATGGA